TACTCTTATTAGACCGAATACTGGAATTTTATCGTACTTTCTTAACGCACTTATGGCCCCAAAGTGTGGAACATGATTTGTTTTTTTGCGGTAAACCAAAAATGTGAAACATGATTTGTTTTTTGCGGTAAACCCAAACTGTGGAACATGATTTATTTTTTTGAGGTAAACACTGGTTCGCATGAGGTGCAAGAAAAGCTTCATATCGGTGGGAAATGATGTTATGTGTAAATTTGTAACAGCAGAGTTTGGAAAGCTTATTTATCAGGCATTTATTTTACTTTAATAAACTATCTACTCAAGCAGTATTATATAATTCAACGAAACCTTACCTTATCAAACAGCTGCCTCCATTTCTGAAAGGAATTAATACACCAAATGTTAGAACATGAAAATAAGATCAAACATAAAGTGATAAGGATGAACATATCTTACAACAAACAGTATTTTAGAAATCATATAACATCTTATTATTAAAAAGATAGCATAATTTTGATATTAAAAAGATCTTCTTTAGCCGATGTGATGATAAATATGATATCATTCAGCACTTTGGACGTCAAAGTATCTTAGCTGTTCGTTCGATGTGCTTGTCTGTGACGACATTGAAAATTTTGTGTGAACCATTCCTAGATTGTTTGTTTGTTTGTAATTAAGCACAAAGCTACACAATGGGCTATCTGTGCTCTGCCCACCACGAGTATCAAAACCCGGATTCTACTAAACTTAATACGTACACACAGCTTGGCTTATGAAGTATATCAAAAACAGCGGATTGCATGAAATCGTGAACATGAATGCGTTGTATATAACACTTCAGTCTTAATACGGTAAATATCATGGCATCCTGAATGAACAATTCTAGAACGTGTATATTTGAAATATAGAAATGTGTGCTTTTACGGGTACTATGTAATAATAGGTTCCCCGTACTCTCAGGTTAATTTTGTTGTGAAGGAAAAAAAAATCTCAAAATCAATACCAAAATACCAAAAGCAAGAAGTTACCGGGATTGGCGCTTTTGTGAGCAACAAATACATTAGCAGTTTGCATATACCACATATCCACTCGCCTATAGTATGAATATCATATAGTTAAAACACAAATTATAAAGTTTTAATTTGGAACATAGTAGGTACAGTCAAAGTCGTGTGCTAATTCAACCACACGTGTTGTTCTCCGTTGTAATATTCGATCAAGAAAACTATTTCCTGTTTCACTGAACAGATGTAGTAGATCCACGAATCTCTCTTTGTTGCGCAGATCAAGTAACTAAATGCTAGATGTATCCTTCTAATGCTACAGTTTAAGTTCTCTGCTCTATACAGATTTACTTCTTACTCCAACAACAACAACAATTAACAATTTAGCAGTCAGTGCCTCTAGAACTGAGAACGTAGATTTTATATCCCAAGGAAGAACCTACCTCATCTTCTCAACAACAAGAGATTCGCGAGTCTAGAATTTATTGGAGATGAAGTGAAAGTTTGTTTGTTTGTTTTGTTTGTTTTTAATTATGCAAGTTGTAAGTCCGTAGACATGCCGCTGTGCCACTGGGGGGCATGAAGTGAAAGAGACAAGACACAATGTATGAGACTGAAACGAAAACAAATACGTTATTGACTAAAGAAAGGTGACAGAAGAATGGTTGATCGTGCGTCAAGACACAACGTATAAGGCTGAAACGAAAACAAATACGTTATTAACTGAAGAAAAGTGACAGAAGAATGGTTGATCGTGCGTCAAGACACAACGTATAAGGCTGAAACGAAAAGAAATACGTTATTGACTAAAGAAAGGTGACAGAAGAATGGTTGATCGTGCGTCAAGACAACGTATAAGGCTGAAACGAAAAGAAATACGTTATTGACTAAAGAAAGGTGACAGAAGAATGGTTGACCGTGTGTTAAGACACAACGTATAAAGCTGAAACAAAAAGAAATACGTTATTGACTAAAGAAAGGTGACAGAAGAATGGTTGATCGTGCGTCAAGACATAGCGTATGAAGCTGAAACAAAAAGAAATACGTTACTGACTAAAGAAAGACGACAGAAGAATGGTTGATGGTGTCAATGGCTGGGGACTACTGAGTCGTGACAAAGTGTTAAAACAGGGATAAAGGACAACTTTAACAAAATGAGGAGACGAAATCAATCAGAGAAATGATACAAGGATACACACACACGATGAACAGGTTAAAACCAAGACGAAACTTCCTTGGCAAGTTTTGGCACTCTCAGCAATAAAGATGGTTCTGATGAAAACCGCCAAAACTCTTCACAGGATTCACATTCAATCAGAAAAACGTAGGAGTATTTCTACTCGATATGAGAGTCGCAGAGTGCAGTCCCGACATATACAAAGTAACGTAGGACAAAATACAACTATACACGAAAGAGTAAATATCTTCCTTGACCGAGTCGTGCTACTAAACCCGAGGCTTAATTAGCACATGACCTTGACCGATTTACTGTTCCGAATCAGAACTCTAGAAAAAGTTAAAAATTCTTATGATATGAAATATGCGCAATTGGAGACTGAGATATATGGTGTTTGCATCGAATAAAGATAGAAACAATTGGAGACTGAGATATATGGTGTTTGCATCGAATAAAGATAGAAACAATTGGAGACTGAGATATATGGTGTTTGCATCGCATAAAGATAGAAACAACTGGAGACTGAGATATATGGTGTTTGCATCGCATAAAGATAGAAACAATTGGAGACTGAGATATATGGTGTTTGCATCGAATAAAGATAGAAACAATTGGAGACTGAGATATATGGTGTTTGCATCGAATAAAGATAGAAACAATTGGAGACTGAGATATATGGTGTTTGCATCGAATAAAGATAGAAACAACTGGAGACTGAGATATATGGTGTTTGCATCGCATAAAGATAGAAACGAGAATTGCGACATTTGCCTTCTGAACGTACATATGAGTAATGATTACCTTAGTAACTGAAACAAGTTATTACCGCGGTTAGCACTCCTGTCAGTAACAAGTGCATCTAAGTGTTTGAGTAACAATACCAAGAAATTCTTAAGAATTCACTCTTAAGGTCAAAAAACATAAACTGTAACTTGTGTATCAGAACAAGAATTGCAATTTCAATCGCTGAAAGAATTAAACAAAAATCCAAATAAGATACATTAGTATTAAACCACCTGTTGTGAAAAATACAAAATAAGTTTGTAAAAGTAAAGAATTGGAGTTTTGTTTAAATAAACATTTTCATGTTTTTGTACAATTTCAAATTTTAGTTCACCAGGAGACCATGAAAACATCTTAATTATATAACATGCAAATACGTGTAACATAAACATGAACTCAAAATTATATATACTTGTCAAATTAATAGAGTATACACATGTTAGTAAACAACAAATCTGAAAATATTATATTTCAGAAGAACATTTTAAAAAATGAGGCTGCTAAAGGTTGGGAAATGCGTGAGAGTAAGGTACTCTGTATTTCGTTTCTTTAATCTTAATATCGTATATATTTTTTATTTGTTGTCTCTATTAACGGGTGTTAGTGATCATCTGGAATAAGATAAATGTCGAATCGCTTTTTTTTTCTTTAACAAATTGACTTCTTATCTGCTACGATATCCGTACTCAAATACTGCATCCATTGCGCCATCTAGGGAAATGCATTAAAACCATAAATATATTTTTTTAGATTGGTTTGAATTTCGCGAAAAGCTACACTAGGGCTATCTGCGTTAGCCGTCCCTAATTTACCAATGGATCGCAAACTCTTGAGCTACTTTTTTTTTTACCAACGAATAGTGGGATTGAAAGGGCGATCATGTTTTGTGGGACAGAGATTCGAACCCGCGACCCTCAGGTTACAAGTCAAGCGCCCTAACCACCTATTATTTGAAAATGTAGTCATAATTTATTTCTTACACATTTAGATTAATGATTTTTCAACCCAACTAAAGAAATAAAACAGGACTATTCATTTGTTTGTTTTTCTCAGATTGAAATATTTATTACTTAAATAATGATAAAAATATGGTTCATGAGGCAACCATTTTAAATCCACCCCTTGCTGAGATACTACATAGGAGTCGGTGCTGAAATACATTTTCAGTGACACAAGCATATGAGTTTTGAACAATTCTCCTGGAAGGGATACCATTATACACCTATCTACACATAAATAGCTATCAACGTGACCAGAAGAACCTTTACAGTTGTGTTTGATAATCTTACTTATTTTCATTAAAAGATAATGGCTTGTATAAGACTTGGATGAAAATTCGCATTAGTATAGTGACAATATGTGAAAACAGCACCAACCAAACCAACTAGCATTACCCAGCTTGTTATAGGTGATGCAATGTACTTTTTTCAATACAGATACAGTTGATACTGTGTATTTTCCACTATTTTCACACACGTTTTTGATGTTAGAAGTTTTAGAAAACCAAGTTCACTGTGAAGTACGCACTTGAAACATATCCAAAACTACATGTTCCAAAATCAGGCTGTGCCATTTTCCCTATAACTGCTTTCTTAAAGTACTCATCCTCCCACGGCTTACAGTGCTAAAATTTGGGATTCGATTTTTCGGGTGGACATGGTACAGATAGCTAATTATGAAGCTTTGCGCTAAAAACTACCAACATCATATTAAAGTACAACTTTGGAGCTTATTATCAACAAACTGACGTGTACAACAGGGCTTTTTGCTTTTTACTTATGACACGTAATTTGTTGCAAATTACCTTATGATGACTGGAAGGATTGTGAAGTTTTACTTTTGCTTAACTAGTAAGTAATATATATATATCTTTAATAAGATATATTATTTTTCAAGCTTTCCGTACAGATATTTTACATGTGTTTAATAATGTACTTGTAAAGCAGATGTAGAAAGTCGTAACTCTGCGCTAATCTTCTAGTGTAAGCAACTTCTGTACGGCTTATACTTGTTTAGTCCTGTTTCTGTGCCATATCCTCATATTCATTTCACACAGAGACTTGTTAAATTTAGCGTGAGTTTGGGGTTTACTCCCTTGAGCGTGTGTAATATAGAAATTATCAGTGACAAGGATAATATTAGAACTGTGGGATAACACACTAACACACTTAACGTACCTAACAATTTCTGTTGTTGTCTCGTGCAGACGTATTTTCCAATTCTAGCAGCAAAAAAGTTGTACAACGGACACTGATGTATTAGCTAAAACTCAAGTAACACTCAAGTATAATTAGAGACTGTGTTTTGTTTGTATACTTGTATTTGATTGTTTTTTTTGCTGACTATGCCAATTTTGATCTCTAGAAAACTTTTCAGAACCTGAGGTACTGCAAATACTGTTGGAAATCAGTGT